GGGCGGCGGGGGCGCTCCGGGCTTCCCGGCCGCTGAAAAGCCGGGATCATTCCCAGGGATCGCGGCCTCCACAGCTCCCCCGCCTTCCCAGGCGGCACAAAGGCTCGGAGCGCCGGGAAGAGGGGGGTTATCCGAGAGCTCGGCTGTGCTGGGAATGCCGGAACGAGCCGCGGGAGCGCTCCAAGAGCAGGATTCCTGCTATCCCAGGGTTGTACGGGAGAGATCCGTGCACCGAGCGACCCCAAATTCCCTCAAAATTCCCACAAAGTGCTCGCCCTGCAGGGTCTCAACATCCCATAGGGAAAACTCATGGATAAGGAACCTGTGCAGGGCCGAGCGCTGCCATTCCCGTCTCTCCGAAGCGTCCCAGATTCGGCCTTGTCCTGCTTTTAGCATCCCGGGAGCCGGAGCTCCGGGAATCTCAGGGCCCCGATCCCGCATGTGCGGCAAAGGCCGCCGAATTCCCAAGGGAAAAGAGCAGGGAGCTTCATCAGAGCCGTCACGGGAAGATCCCGGACAAAACCGAGCGGGATCCGGGACACCTCGGAGCACGGAGCTGCTTTAAAAAGAAAAATCGGGATCTGGGATTAATTTGTGGAAAACAGAGTCAGCTCCGTTGCCGCTGGAAAAAGGCACAAGGGAGGAATTCTACAAGGAGTCGGGATCGGACAATGAGCCGGCACCTCCGCAGACTTCCCTATTCCGGTTGTCTCGGAAGCGGATCCCTCTCCGGAGGGGAATCTTCACCTCCCGGCGCCCCTTTAATCATCGGGAATTAACCCGCGAGAGCCCCAGAGCGGGAATCCCGCTCCCAAGGAAAAGAGGGTGGATTAAAGCACCCGGCGACGGACACAGAGCGGATAATCCCGGCAAATCCCCCCGCGGCGCTAAAGGGATCGTTCCGAGGGGAACGCGGCCGGAGCGGGAGCTGCGGATCGCCCGGAAGGTCACGGGATGGAGCGGGAAGGAAGGAACCGGCTCCTGGCGCTTCCCGCCCCTCGG